AAGCTGAAGTTTTACATTTCATTTTTTAAAAGCTTTTAGTTTTTTTTTTAAATTTTAAGGTAGTACCGGTAGATACTAATAAAGAAAATATAAAAGTATTCTTCTATGAAAAATAAATTAAAATTTCATGCCCTCTGGAAAAATGATATAAATGTTCAAGCTGATAGTTACCAGTCTTCAAACCCATTTGTGATCAGTAATGCAGTGGCAGTTCCTGCCGTGTCCGCTCCGGAATATGGCAAGGACAGTGGCACGAACGCTCGGGGACAGAGGAAGAAAACTTACACGTAGGCACACAGGAGGCTGTGGTAAGCTGTGAGAGGTGGGTAGTCCAGCCCCCAGTACTGTAAGTCGTTGTCACTGCTGTTAAAATACCTGGAGAGAGAGAGAGAGAGAGACAAGGAGTGCGCCTCGGATCGGCAAGAAGCACACAACAGAAAAGACAATGTGCATCCGATAAGCTACAAAACATCACACAGAAACAAAGTAGTCAATGTCAGAGAACACAAAGATTTGGTTTACAGAAACCACATCTCATGAACCAGTTCCTGTCCTGGCTTGGTGTCGGCTGCTGTGGGCACTGAAGCCTGGGCCTTGGCACTGAGCTGCATTCCCAGCTCGTTTTATTCCTTGAGACAGGATCTCACTGAGTGGCCAGGCCACCCAGGCTGGGCTTGAGCTGTGATCGTCCTGCCTCCGCCTCCCAGGCTGCTGGGATGACAGGCGTGCACCACCACGCTGGCTGGGAGCAGGCAGTGCTGCATAAGACCGTTCAACCAGCATGGTGTGAGGACCTACTGTGTGCGACTCTTCGGGACTGAAAGATTAGGTCTGATGTGCATGAATGGCTGCAGTCTCCTCCAGGGAGATGAGCTGCGGAGGAACGACACAGGCCGACTACTGAGGAGGAGGAAACTGCTCTACCCCCGCCACCCCCACCGCCCTGAGCCTGTGTCACATGGCCCTGTACCCGGCTGGGGTCACTGCGTCTCGTGTGGGGGTAACAGATGACTATGAGCAAGCAGCACACACCTGCACCGGCGAACCGGTTACTCAGGCGGCCAGAGCAGGAGGAGCCGGAGCTCAAGCCCAGCAGGGCAGTGTAGTGAGAGCCCGTCTCAAGACAGAAAGGCCTAAGGGCTGGGGTGGTGTGGAGGAACACTTGTCTGGCCTGCTTAGGGCCTGGCCGGGAGCCTGGTACCAGGGCAAAGCTCGAGGCTCCACAGGGGCCCTGGAGAGGACTGCTGGGTCACAGGCACACGCCCGTGCCATCGGGTCACTTGGGAAGCTGGCATGCGAGGAGAGGAGCCTCGACCCAGGGCATTAGGGGCACACGGGGTCGCCTCTGAAGCGGCTCCGGAGAATGAGGCCACAGTGACGAATAACGGGACCCATACCACAGGAGTCCATACCACTGTCTGATCGGTAAATTCAAGGTGACTTCCTGCCAGTGCCGCTGAGCCTCGTAATCCCCGAAGAGCGGCGGCTTCCCAGCACCTGGCGGAGGAGAGAGCCCAGCGTGAGCGCGGCGGCGCCCTCGAGCTCACAGGACAGTGACCCCCGTCCCAGAGGCTCAGTGCTCCTCCTGCTTCCCAGCTGTGCACCCCAGGGATGAGGGCGGCAGGAAGGCCGCACCATGTGGGCTTACTCGGGGCTTTCACGCTGCGCACCACCAAGGACAGAACTGCAAACGTGGGCGGCAGGTCAGGTCCTGCTCGCCACTGAGTCATGTGACAGCCTCAGCCTGTGACGCGACTTCAGTCCAGCTGTACAAAGGACAACGGCCTCTAGCACCTAGTGAGGCGCCCTGCAAGCCACAGCTCCTCCGCGAATGTAGCTGCAGCCGTGGCTCCTCCGCTAGCTGTGGGGCCGAGGGGTGGCATGCTTCTGTGCTGCTGGCCACACCCGCCTGCCACGTCACGTTTACTCTTTATTATGGCAGCCCCCTTTTAAAGCCGAGATTGCACCAGTGACCCACAGCAGAGCAGAGCAGAGCTGGGCAGATGGGCCAGCTGTAGGCACACTGTCACTCTCCTGCGGGCGACCACGGCTGTCAGCTCAGTTCCTGGGCTCTCACGAGGGTGGATGGGAGAAGCTGAGCCCATGGGACCAGTGGGGCCTCAGAACCAGAAATGTGCAGGACTTTGCTTTGCTTTGGTTTTTCTACGGAACTGGGGATTGAACTCTGGACCTTTCGCTTGCCAGGCAAGCGCTTATTCTACTAAGCTATTTCCTAGCCCCCCCCCCCTTTTTTTTTTGCAGAACCGGGGATTGAACTCAGGTCCTTGTGCTTGCCAGGGAAGTGCTTATTCTACTGAGCCATCTCCCCGGCCAGCACTTTGCTTTAGGAAAAAGCTGCAGAGCACCATGTTCCAGAATGGAGGCAGCAGCTACACCAGTTTCAGAAAAGCAGCAGCATAGAGAATTTGCTCCTGGGAATCAAGGTCAGCATGCTCCGAGATCCAGGCACTCAACCTCTACAGCCAAGGGAGAAGAAAGCCTGGGTACTGCTCCAGCTGGCAGCAGACCTTGGCATCCACATGGCGCGGGCCTTAGGTGCATTCAGAATGCAGGAGTTCTGAAGTTAAAAATGTTTTCACCTAAACTTCAGAAGGCCTGAGAGGTCAGGCAGTGTACCCCGGGAAGGGCAGTGTGCAAGGCTGTGAGAAGCTTACTCAGTGGAAACCCCAGAAGTTTACAAAGCCAGAATCGTGGATTGTCTGAAGAAAGCTGCAAGGAGGGAGCAAAGCGAGCCCCAGAAAAAAGCCATGAGAGCTACCAGCAGAAGTGCCGTAGGGGCGGAGCCACGTAAGGCTTTTGGAGCTCGCAACTCGTTATAGATTGCTTGGCATGTTCCACGTGGAACTGTAGAATTTAATGTCTGCCCTTCTGGATTTTGGCCTTGTTTTGGTCCCAAAGGTTGCATCCTGCTGTGTATATCTTTTAGAATGGTAATGTTTATCTTGTGCCTTTGAATGTTGGAAGTGTTTAACTTTTCATTTGTACAGGGGTTCACAGCTAAGAGTTTGCCTTAGATCTTGGAGGAGACTGGGACTGGACTTTCCGGCAATGCCCTCAGGACTTCGGCAACTGCGGCGGAGAGACTGAGTGCCTTTTGTAGAAAGCGAGGTGCATGAGTCTCCGGGGGGCAGGGGCGGAATGGTAAGGTTCTCGTGTAATATAATGTCAACAGACTTAATAGTGGTTCTTAATGAGTTAAGCCTGGGTTATAATGGAGAAGTTGCAAAATGTTAATAAGCATGTCTTGTACCTGGAAACTGGTTTAAAGAAATGTCTAGTTGCCAAGTTGCCAAGGGGTGGATGGTAGTGGGGCATACACTGTGTCAACCGCGAAGTTTAGATGTTTAATGAAGCGCCTCCGCACAGAGCCAGCTTCCTTCTTCGTAAGCACCCTCACCCTCTCAAGAGGCGGGCACGGAAGGCGAGCGGCTCAACACCCCTCCCGAGGCCGGGAGCCCTCTCTGGCGTGACTCAGCACTTGCAGGGTGCAGAAGCGACCTGAGGAAGGACGGCTGGTCCCACTTCCTGCGCGGAGCTCTGGTCTGTGCAGTCCGTGCGGAAGGAGGGAGGCTGGCCAGAGCCTTCGGCCACCGTGGCTGCTGCTGCTGCCTGCAGTGTGCCCCTCTGCCTGGGCGCCGCCGAGTACGGCCTGACGCCTCCACCAACTGTGAGCTAATATAACCGTTACTTCCTTAATTTGGGGTGTTGGGTATTTTGTCCCGCAATGAGTAAAAAGTAACCGAGACACTATGAACAAAACTTGCGTTTGTCTACTTCTCACAGATTGTTTAACAGCAAAATCAAAATGAAGCCAATATTTTTAGGTCTGTGAAAATTAAAATACACATCCAGTTCTGACACATTTTATGGTAGAAACTTACACACACTAATAAAAATAAGTAGCCTGGCTGCAGTACCTGCGCGTTCCCAAGGGAGGAAGGATGCAGGAGCAGAAGGCGCCCGCCTGAGCCCCAGGACGCCCGGGGCTTCTCCCAGAGCCGGCGCCGCCCGCCCGCTGCGGGTTCAAAGGCCGGCTCCCCGCGCCCACAGCTCCAGGCAGCTCCAGGCAGCCGCGGGCGGAGCCCAGCCCTGTCGCGTCCGTCCGGGCTGCCCCTTCCCCTCACAGACGAGGGACGCGGCTCAGAGGCTGTGGGGAGCAGCGGGCCGCTTCGGGCTGTGGCCGCCGCCTCACCTGCTGACCGCCCCCGCAACCTCTTCACTACCATAAACTATTTTTCCTCACCAGATAGTCCCCCAACACAGGGTGCAACCCAACCTCCCACCACAGCGCACCCACCGGACCCTGACCGCTGCCGGCCGCCACGGTGCGCGCCGTGTCCCTTGCACACGCTCCCGACTGGCTGTGACGGCTGGCCCAGCGGCTGGCGAGGCGACCACGCACGCACGCACGCGCGCGCGCACGCACGCACGCACGCACGCACGCACGCAGCGCTTTACTCCCTCCGGCCAAGCGTGAGCGTGCCGCTCTTCAGTGGCTAAATAAGCATTGTCAATCTGTCGCACCCCTCTGGAGAATATAGTTCTGTTTTCTTCAATCACAACACATACGTGTTTTCATTAGAATTAGATGTTTAAGTGTATTTTCTTCACCACATCCACAAAGCCTAAACTTCCTCCCACAGTCAGAAAACTACAAATTTACCGTAAAACTAAGGAAACAAAAGAATCCCAATTCAAAGGAACACTTCCCTGATTCTGCTTGCTGAGGCAAAGCCTCGCGCCGTGTCGCAGGCCGCGGACGTTTCCGCCTCCGGGCCTGCGCGGACCGGCTCCCCACAGCCGCGAGTTTACCTACCTGAGTAAGGGTGAAGGGACACGGCCCAGCGCACGCTGAGCGCCAGCAGCACCACCACCGCCATCCCGCACCACCTCTCCATGGTCCCCTGGCTCCGCGGGCAGGAAACTGGCTCGCTTCTCCACACCTGAGAGCAGGCGAGGACTTCGGGCGGCGTCTGCGCAGCAGTAGCCCGGGGAAGGCACGCCAAGGTTTGGCTGAGCACCCAGGAGCCCCAGGAAAAGTCAGAGCCCAGCGTGGCTGGGGCAGGGCAGCGGGCGAGGTGCGCTCTTCCAGCCGGCCGAGTAGGAAGTGTGCTCCGGCCCAGGCGGCGCTTGCCGGCAGTTCCAGCACTCTGCAAGGCTGAGGCAGGAGGGTTCCAAGTTTGAGTCCCGTGAGGGTGCCTCGCTGAAACCTTGCCTCAAGTAAAACAAGAAAAAGACGAAGATGTTGCCCAGTGTGAAAGGCCTGGGTTTAGTGCCCAGTACCAACAAAGCATCTCTCCCTAGAGAATGTGCCTCTGGGTGTACAAAGCCACAGGAAGGTCTGTTGTCGAAGGGGTTTCTGAGAAGAAAACAGTGCAGGCGGAGGCGGCACAGTCACGGGCATGAGCCAGCTCTTCTCCCGCGGGCACATCACAGCCCACAGGGGACCGGCAGCCCCTTGGTTCCACAGAAGAGAAGGGTTCTGCCTGCACGTTTAGCTCTGAAAACCAGCTGCTAGGTATTTGCAGGTTTTACTTTTCTTTCTAAATGCATTTGCACCAATCACACCAGCTCCTCCTCTATGAGAAGTAAGCCTTCCCAAATACCGCAAGAGCCCAAATTCTAGAGAAACAGAAACGCAGTGAAAGCCAATTACTCACTGTCTTTTTTTTTTTTTGGTGGAACCGGGACCTGAACTCAGACCCCTGCACTTGCCAGGCAAATGCTTATTCTACTGAGCCATCTCTCCAGCCCCTCACTTTCTTATATGGTTCTTTTTCCTTACCTTCTTTCCTTAGATGGGTTTAAAACTAAGAAGCAAATTGACTTCTACTCTTCTCTGAAACATGATGGGTCTTCTTAACCACAATATATACTTTAAATATACTCACAAAAATAGAAATAAAGGGCTAACAACATAGCTCAGTGGACTAAGCGCCTGCTGAGGCAAGCGCAGGGACCAGGGTTCAATTCCCAATACATACGCCACACCGGCCCCACCCCAGGCACACTGAGCTGGCAACCGAGTCCAAGCATGGTGACACACACCTGTGATCCCAGCACTGGGGAGGCTGAAAACAGGAGGATCGCTACTAGTCCGAGCTGTGTAGTGAGACCCTGTACCAAAAACATAAAAAAAAAAAAAAAAAAAAGAAAAAAAAAAAAAAAAAAAAAGAAATAGCAAGTCCAACTGCAAACTGGCACATTTCACCTATTGAGCTAAAATCTTGCCAGATGCAGTAGCACACATCAGTAATCCCTGCATTGAGGAGGCTGAGGCAGGAGGATCATCACAAGTTCTAGCCTAGGCTGGACTACAAAGTGAGAACCTGACTCAAAAAGCCCGAATAAAGAAATAAGATAATTTTCTTAAAAACGAGAACAAATGAGTCTGGCACCTGGACAGGGAAGGGCTCCTGCGGCCCGTGTGACTGCCCTGCCCCAGCTTCCACAGCCTGGGACCTGGTCCTGCCCCATGGCTCTGCTACGGCTCCCCTCACTGCACCCTGCAGCATCTACCCCAGAGGCAAGAGGAAAGGAAAAACTACACTTGGACCACTTCCTGGGGGGCGGGGGTGGCTCTGGGCTGAACCCGGACCTGACGCAGGACAGGAGAGAAGAGGCAGATTCTTTCTGAGGCGATGTCTCACTAGGTAGCCCAGGCCGGCCTGGAAATCCTCCTCCTCGGGAGAGTCTTCTTCAGGTTGATGCGAACAGTGACGCACTGTGTACTTTAGCCTACAGCACTCCATCGTCTGCTCAGACATCACGTTTAAATTTGTAATTCAGGTGCTAGCTCCTGGACTTAAAAAATCTAGTTTAGAGGGGCTGGGGAGATGGCTCAGTAGAATAAGCACTTCCCTGGCAAGTGCAAGGGTCTGAGTTCAATCCCCAGTTCTGCCAAAAAAAAAAAAGAGAAGCCGCAGGTCCCAGCTGCCCCGGCCCCACAAGCTTGCCAGGAGCGGGCATGTGGAAGAGACGGCTCCCGCCTGTGCGTGAAGCCCAGAGACACCGGCACCCTCTCCGGAGGACTGAACCTAAGTCCCCACACAACACAGAGAAACGCCGGCCTGACCACGCCGGCAGGAGGGCTATTAGTAAGCAGGGCTGGTGGCTGGGGTCGATCGCTCCGTGGGGCTCCAGCACAACAGCCGCCACAGACCTGTCGCCGAGTGGCGGACGTGGCTGGCTGTGGGTGGGAGAGTGGGGCTCGGGCTCCCGGGCACCAGCCATGGCGCAGGCCGGGAAAGTTCCCGGGCGATGAGTGCTGCCCAAAACAAAGGAGCTCCCACCCGGGACCAAAGCTCCTCCAGCTCAAGCAGAAAGAGCACAAACCAGTTGCCAGGAATACCCACATTCATCATGTGGGGAGGGGCTTGCAATGCAGCGCAGCCTGGCCTTGAATTCAGAACAGTCCTCCTGCCTCAGCCTCCAAGTGCTGGGAGTACAGGCCTCCGGTCAGGACTGACAGGAACACTTTTAAAGAGCTGCAACACAGCGATCATTTCTAGCCTGTCTCCTAAATCTGATTTTGGAAGTAAGTCATTAGTGTGCATTCACAGAACTCAGGACAACACATACCTGCCTGCTCCTGGCCACCGGCCCGAGTCCTCTGGGGGCTTCGCTGGCCACAGGAAGGGCAGCACTCTGCACCCCAACCCAGGAGCACGTGGAAGGGGAAGGAAGCCCAAAACAGCACTCTAACCCGGGCCACACCTCTGCTGAAAGCCACTCGGCCGCAGGGGTCCCGCGCTGTTCCCCGCCTGCCCCGCCAGGACCCAGCCCAGGCCCCCGGGGCCTCGCTGCCCCGCTTGCTACGGGGCTCCTGGCCAGCTCACCTCTCCTCCATCCCCCCCACCCTCCTGCTCTGTGCCATCACCTTCTCCCGTTTGCTGCCTAGGTGTCCTCACTGGAAGCCACTGTGCACACACAGAGAAAATTCTGAATAAAGGGAGCCCGTCGCCAAAGAATAAGCATGAGTGGTTGCAGTGGCGGAATGTTCACAGGTAGGCAGGCTGACGTGTGAGGTTGGAAAGGAGGAAATGGCCGGGCGTGGTGGCGCATGCCTGTACCCCTAGCATTTGGGAGGCTGAGGCAGGAGGATCACTAAGAGTTCAGTGGCAGTCTGGGCTCCACTGTGAGTTCAAGGCCAGCACCCGCTAAAAGCAGAAATCAGGAAAGAGCCGACCGGCCAGAGCAAAGATAGGGTGGTGATCCCCTGGGAGGTCCTTTTTTGAGTCCTGTTGTACGATTCACGCTGGCCCCGCACCCGCAGGGATCCTCCTGCCTCAGCCTTCCTGGTGCTGGAATTACAGGTGCACGCCCCACACCCAGCTGCAGGGAGGCCTCGGGAGCCCCGTGCGCGCAGTTTCTTGCCTTGAGTGGTGGCTAAAAAATGCCTGACAGTGTGACTGCCAACAAGTGACAACCGCAGAGCAGCTCTCCGTGTCACACCGCAATGTAAACGGAACAGAGTGTGGGGCGACGCGGCGGTGCACGCGCGGCACCGGCGCTCTGGGAGGCTGGGCAGGGGGACGCGCAGTTCCAGGCAGCATGGAACTTCTCGCCCTGTCTCAAACACAGCGAGGCTGGGGTGCCAGCGAAGCGACAGCGACTCCACGACACGCTGCCTGCCTCGGCTGCAGGCGGCCCCGGCACGGTCCGCACCCCGGCCGCTTCCTCCCCGCGGCCCTCGCAGCCCCTTCCCGCGCTCCCGTCCGGAGGCACAGTCACCCGCCAGCCCCGGCCCAAAGCCCCGAGCCGTCCCACCCTTACCGCCGCAGCTAACCGGATCCGTGAGTACAGCGCACACTGAGCCTGCGCGCTCAGCTCCGCCGCCGGCGCCCGCACACCCCGGCCTCCGCGAGCACGCGCGCCGCCGAGGCAACCGGCGCGAGAACGAGCCCGTCGTGCGTGGGGGCGGGGTGGAGGCGGCACTGGGCGGGGCACGGAACGCCAGTCAGGACGCCCAGGTAAGGCGGTCGGTGGGGGCGAGGTGACGTACGGAGGAACGTGGTGACGTAAGGGGCGGGGCCAAGTGACGTCCGGGGTGACGCGCGAGGTGGGGTGGGGCCCGCGGAAAGCCCCGGGCTGCTGGCGCCGAGGCCTTAGGCCGAGGCCCGCGCGGGCTGCAGAGCTGGCGCGTCCCAGTCAGGGCAGGCCCTTCCTCTGGCCGCTTGCAGCCCCAGCCAGCCCGCCTCAACCCCTCAGGCCGCCTCTCGTGGGCACCTCGTGTCACAGGCCTGCCCACGTCCCGCGGGAGCTCTGCGCTCCGTCGCCGCCGCGTGCGCCCGCACGTGGGCGGACGCGACGGGGCGGACGCCGGCAGGAGGGTTCGGTCCCTGGCGCGCGCTGAGCAGCGCGCGGGCCGAGACCCCGGGACGCCCCACCGCCGAGCTCGCGATCCCGGGCGCCGAGTTGCCGCGCCCCAAGGGCCACGCGAGGGGGATTCCAGAACTACGGCCTGGAATAATAAATATAAATGTATTGTATTGTATTTCACTGCCGTCCGCCTGGAAATGAGGACGAGACGGCCGCATCTCCGCCCTCGAGCCGTTCTCTTCGTAGACTGGCGCACATGGAAAGCGCGGGAAGGAACCCGGTGCGGCTTGCACACCGAGCAGCCTGGAGGCCGAAGACCGGTGCTCCGAGCCCGGGAGCCGCGCCGACGGCCCGCCTAGGTGGGCTGATGAGCGGGAGGAGGAGCTGGGACCAGCCTGCGCCGCTCGCTCGCGTCGGGGATCGAGAGCCAGGGAGAGCCAGGGCGTGGCTTGCAGCCCGAGGCCGCGTGGTGGTGGGCCCGGCTGGCGTCACCATGCGGTCCGCGCGTGGTCGGTCAGACGATGGCCTGCGCTGAGATGGTCGTGGGGGACCTGGAAGGGACGGGGTCGGCAAGCAGGAGGAGCGCGGTCTTGCTAACACGCCCTGTACGAAGAAGTCCTACCAGGAAGAGGAAGAGCCGCCACGCTTCCAG